TTGTGATAAATGATAGCTTTTCCTCTGTCACTCTCTGTCCGCATAGCACATGCTGCACTGCCTGCCTCAGATGTGTGGAGCGCTTCGCCCCCAGCAGCTCCCTGCCCATAACATTGGCCTGCATCTTCAACAAAGAAATTCGTTTTTGACGGAATATGTAAAAGGAAAACAGATTTGCTTTGATGCAGTGGATGTTTTGAAAGTTGGGGACAGCTAGTATGTCCCCTAACTGTGAATGATCAGCCTCTGATGCTGTTTTCTCCACTTGTGGTGACAGGCTGCCAATACCCTCCCACACATGGTCAATAAAGTGTCAGAGCCTGGGAGAATGAAAACTTTATTACAGTTTGGAAGCTGTCCTGGAAGTGTAGCGGATAACAGCTGTGGAAGAGTTTTTACAGTATACACACTGACAAACACCACAGCATTATGTCTTAAGTCCCATATGATACAGATAATGTCTGTGTGGAACCAGTACTGAGGATTGTAGATCCTTGAAAAACAATGCACTTCTTCGCTGTACATCTCTCACCCCCTTCACGCCGCCCCAGCCCTCTCTCTCCCCCTGATACCAAAGTATTACAGGCTGCCGGCACCCAGGGGATGGATAAATCATCCCTTTAACCAAAGTGAGCTTATTGGATGAGTTACTGCTGTGATTGCCTGGGTGATTACATGTGGTTTTTAGTTTGTCCGTCTCAGTGCGAGGCCAACAGTCTTCACTCTTCAGTGCTAAATGCTTCCCTGACTGGGGAGCTCTGATAGCTTGACGGCTGAAGCCGAGCTCTCTCTCTGGACAGTTTCTAGAGTTCTTGGGAGATGGAGGGGCCCAGGGAGGTCTCCGTGTGATCCAGACTGACGTGGGACAGGGAGTAGCTGTGGGAGCGAGACGGTGTGTGGTAGTGAGAGGGTGGCCAAGGGGTGCTTTTACCTGTGGCTTGGACCTCTGTCTGCTCTGAGCTCTGCGTTGCCAGGGTGGATTCCCCCCCCGCCTCTGCTCCGTCCCCAGCCCCCATCCCCCTGTCCCCACCCTGCTTGTGCCTCTCCCAGGCTGAGCTCAGCTTCACAGCCAGGGCCAGTAGGTTCTTCCCCAGGAACACTGTAGAGACCCGGGGGTCCCTGTACCACAGCATGCCCGTTCCCCTGAGGGCCAGTGTGAACACGTTGATGGTGACCAGGCTGAGCCAGGGGTATAGGGCCTCCTTACGGGGCCCCCTCTGTCCCGGCAGGGCGGCGGCCCCCAGCTCTGTGAGGGCCACGCAGGGCAGTAGCAGCAGCAGGGCGTAGCAGTAGAAGAACACCAGGCCTTCGGCCCACAGGGGCACCCTTAGGTCAGTGGCCCCTGTGTGGGCTTCCCACAGCCCGGCCTGCAGGTCCAGAACATCCAGCAGGTCCACCACCACCCAGAGCAGCCTCCCCCGCACCTCCTGCTTCCTCCGCAGGGGCGTCATGTTGTCAGCCCCAGTAAGGATGAGGAACAGGGAGGGAAGGCAGATAGACAGCAGCAGGGTGAGTGTCTTCCTGGCCAGGGGGTCGGGTGGCCGACGTTCCGTCCGGTAGTTCTGGCAGACAAAGAAGAGTTTGAGCTGGAGCAGGGACAGGAAGAGGAACCAGAGGGTGTTGGCAAAGCCGCGGCGGGGGGAGGGCGCCTCCGACACCACGCCCGCCGACACGATGCGTAGAACCAGCAGGAAGCCCAGGTCACCTAGCAACACGGCGGCGCACGGCCACACGCCGGGCCCGGCCTTGCCGCGGGCTCCCAGCATGCTCTGCTCCAGCAGGTAGAGGTCGACCACTGCCATGGTGCTCACCGTGACCAGGGTTGATACGCACACCTGGGGCGTAGGCACCATGCCTGGTAGAGAAACACAGAAACATGACAAGTCAAGAAAAAATGTACTATGTTCAGAAGAACGGTTTTATTCCCATCTAGACTTCATTCACCAATGTGAATTTCACTTGCATGATAGACAATCTTTCTTCAAGACTCTTGCTTACCTAACAGTGTTGCCAGTCATACTTTCTTGCTTGTTGCCATGGATAAAGATAATTTTGATGCCAATTCAGCAGTGAGTCTTTTCCATCTTTCAGTCAGGGACCGTTCTTCCCTGACCATGCATGCTGTACATTTTCTCAGTCCTCTGTAGATATTTTATTTTAAATGGGGCTCTTCAGCAATGAAAGTTTTAACCCTGCCCGGCACGTTGTCTAAAACTCAGAATTACCCTGGTTCTCTGCTGTGGCATTTTGCTTGCGTGCCCTTACCTTATTCATTATTAATGAATTGTGTTGAAGTGCAGCCAGGCAGGCAGCTTGTCTACTTGTTTTCTTTCCTGTTTAGTCAGCCTCATTGTTGCTGCCTGCTGCAATCTTAAGTCGGCGGAAAATTGCCTTCTCATTTGGGCAGAATATTAATAACGCTTCTCTTAAGATTTTGAGATGTTTTTTGAATGTAATTGCTTGCTTGTGTGTTCATGAACATGTGTTTGTCACTGTGCGCGTGTCCCTGCGTGCAAGCCATTCTAATGGGCTAATCTGCCCATTTACGGAATACTAATGTGTACATTTTTTGCGCCAGGCCATATTTTAACAGTGGACATTATAAAACCCCAGTATTGATTGTGAGTGAGAAATGATCAGACTTTACGTGCCTCTCCTTAACGTATTGAGGCTAAGAGGCTGTAGCGTATGGTTCTCAGAGCAGACCGAGCCAGGGGAGCTGAGGAGCAGTGTCAGCCATCTGCCTAGCACCACCGAGGGTGTCAACCACTCCACGGGATTGATGGCATTTTAATATGAAATCTTTACCACCTCAGATATGCCATAATGGCAACACTAGAGTCTGTGATCGAGCGAAACGATTGCGGGCTCTGCAGCCATCGAGGAACAGATGAACAGATCTACTTTTTAATAGCGTGTGCTAACGTGTGCTTCTGATTGACGACAGGCATCTATCTATTCGAAGCAGCACTCATCTGAGCCCTGTCTTCCACGGAGAGACTGTCAGTGTCTGCAGGAGAGACTTGTGGGAGAGGGGATTGAAAGTAAGAGATTGATTGCTCTTGGCTGTCTACATGCCTAATAAAGTATTACTACATGATGGTAATAGTTCATAAATGAACTCAGCCTGGCGAGGAGGAGAGATGAGCGCGGGATGGAAGGGCAAGTGAGGATGAGGAAGCTGCGGACAGAATTTGATGATGCAGGGCGCTAAAAAAGACATGGCATCTGACGCTAACTCTGGGATCAGAAGAAATGAAATGCATTAATACTTCTTCTGGAACAGTTGAGTGAGGAAACAACCTAGACTGACTAATCCTCCTAGGGGCATGGTGAGGAGAGCGAAGAGGGGCATGAACGTCAGAATCACTATTATCTGATTATCATACGGAGGGAGGATATGCAGGATATGCAAACTGCAGTCCGTGGAGGGAGAAAGGTAGTCTGCCACCCCAGACAATGTGTTTTTGCCTTTCTCATTCCCACCACGCCTCTTGGCAATTCCGTATAAGTCTGAAATTGTACCCTGGAACCGCGGCGTTCCTCTGTCAGCCTTTGTTTGTGTCGTGACAGCTTGTCAACACACATCATTGATTCTGTTCTGAGTGAGCAGTCCGGATGACAGCTGTGTGTGTCCATTCTGCTCATCAATAATGACATATTCATCATCCCTATGATTAGAAAACGGTGCTGTAGCTGACAGGCTGATTCAGGCTTTTCCACTGCAAGTGTAAGGAAAGGGCCTGTAAAGGTGGACAGGTAAAACATTTTGTTTGGGATTTCTCAGCCCAAGATGTGATAGGACAAAACATTACTTATTTATTGTGTGGGGGAGAAAGGAGTGTTTTCCCTAATTACCCAGGATAATCTGTTATGGCTCTCAAATTGCCTCCCCCCCCCCCCCACACACACACACACACACACACACACACACAGAAGGCTAGCATTTTGAAATCAGGCTCGCCTCATTTGTCACTTCTGTTTTTCTCTCTAATATTGGAGGTCTACCAGGTGCGCTGGGCTACAGGTAAAAGGAATATGAATTGCTCTAGACCTGTAATTCATCTATAAAAACATGCTCTGTGGGATGTTTGTCTTACTACAAACTAAATCAAATGTGAGTTTACAGAGCAGGAGGGACGATATCACAGTCTAGCCTAAGTTGTACAAGCAAGGGGTATATGAGTGAGACCGAGAGCGCTGCTTGTTAGAGAGAAAGAGATGATTTGGTATATGCAATTAAACTGAATGAATGTATGGGGGTAAAACCTGTATAATTCTAATGGAATAGTAATGGAAAATCCTGTCTAATCCAGGTGACTGAGTTGCCCTTGAGCAGTAACATCTGATGTCTCATGAGGCATTTGTAAACCTGTGGGATCAGCTATTATAGGATATTACATGTGTATGGGGATGAATATGTATTGGAGCATATCCTCCAAATGGTTTTTTTCCCATGATCATTTCAACAGATCTGTTTTAAATCCCCTCCATGGGGGATTTTGTCTTCCATTATGTTGATGGAGCCCCCCAAATTGAACCTAGTCACAAAATGTGATGCACCACCTGTTACGTTAATTACCCTTTATTAATAGATGCATACATAATTCAACTCTTTTGAAAGTGGGGGATAGTTACCCAAAGCATGCGTTCTTGGTTTGCCGCTCCACCTGGCTTGATTGAGATCCACGTCGCCTATTAGTAGAAATCGAATGGTCCCTGGATGAACGTGAAGGTCCAAACTGTGATTCCACAATTGTTCCTTACATCGGTTGCTTTGTGTGTCTTATATATTACTGCGTGTCTGTCTGTCCGAAAATATTTGAATAGGCTTCCGCTCTGCTATGATGATCTTATCCTGATAAAATAGGGGAAAAGTAATTGCCCTTTGTCCATCTTCGAGTTTGTCCAAATTAAGCAAGTTCAGATTTAAACAGTCAAGCCCCTTTTTCTTTCTTCTGAGTCGGTCAAATAAGCTTGTCATTTTGCAGAATTATTCCATGGTCACCACGGGTGCAGAATTCTCATTCTCTTGGTATGTCCGTCTTGGATTTGACACCTCGGGTCTGGCAGCCGAAGATCCAGTGAGTCACGAAGGAGCCGTGCGGGCTTGTTGGCTGTGCTCTGAGCTGTCGAAGTCGCTCAGAAGTGGACTACTGCTTGACGCGGAATCATTATCAGGAATAGACGACACAAAAATATCCACAGAAGAAGTATAGACTGTAAAGCAAACCTTGAGGACACGAGAGGCATGAATAAACTCACTGAGCCACTAGAGTTTGATTGCGGTGTTCATTTGTAGGCAGGTTACGTGCTCTCGGCTCCCCCACTTCCCTGCTCACTCTCCCTGCTCAGCTCTCCTCTGCCACCTCCTCCTTTTTACCATCAGCTCAGCTGTATAACTTGAAGATCCAGACTGGAATGCATGAATATTTAGGAGCCCACAGTTATGTCCATCGGTTATGGTAATCATCATGATGCCACTTTGCTGAAATTATAACTAGCATAATTGCTTTGTATTACATAGAAGTAGGTTATGGCTTTGATTGCCCTGCCAGTGAAATATCAGATATACAGAATGCACCCTCACTGAAATGTCACTCAAATATATGGAAGCAAGTAGAGCAAGAGATGCCTGTGGACACATTTCAAAACCATCCTGTCTTTTGTTGAACTGTAAATTGAAAACGGTCCCAGTCGGCTGCCGTATAGCCTAAGGGTTTCCAAATGGACGAATTTTGAGTTTAAGTGTTTGAGAGATTTGTTTTGATGGTTAAGGAGCGTATGTTTGCATCACCTTGTCATTATGTCCTGTTCCGTTAAGTGCATAGGCATATCAATCTCCACCTTCTCAGCAGCACATCTAAATTCGAAGGCTCTTATTTTCCCCTCTGCCTTTATTCTCTCTGTGTGTGCGGGTCATCTCTGAGTGAGAGCTTTAATCAGACAAGTGGGAAAGGGGAAGGAGAGTCATATATTTCTTGTCACAATCAGCTACGCGCTCCACTGGCTTCCAGAGATTTTCCATTCCCTGGGTTGAATTTGGTTTTTTTCCTCGATCCTTCTACTCTCCTGTTCTCTTTCCTTATGCCCTCCAGTTCCATTCACTCTACCTCTCCTCTCTCTCGCTCCTTCCGCACTCTCTCCCTTTTCCTTTGGTTCCCTGTGGGTGTGGTTGAAGGTCACTCTGCACTGGCTCTTTCAGCGTGGAGTGCACGGACGGACGGAGGGAGGGAGGGAGGGAGGGAGGGAGAGAAGGCATCCTGTCCACAGCACTGTGCAGTCATCACTTCCCCTCCTATACATGAGTGGGGAAGGATGTGGGGTAAGAGACCGTCCAAGAATGCTAAGGACTGATTGGTCCCAAGCTGATGACCACCAGTGGCAGAGGCCAACCATTACCGGGCCAGAATACTCAGTCTCTCTCTCCATCTGCTTTCACGTTTCCTTTCCGCCACATGTATCAGAGCTTTGCCCTCCGCTGCTTTTCATGCACTGCTCTACCTACCACACTCTGAATAATTGAGTTTAATGTGGCAATTGGAGTGCTTTCTATACTGAACAAAAAATATAAACGGAACAAGCAACCATTTCAACGATTTTACTGAGTTACAGTTCATATAATGAAATCAGTCATTTGAAATAAATTCATTAGGCCATAATCTATGGATTTCACATGACTGGGCAGGGGCGCAGCCATGGATGGGCCTGGGAGTGCATGGGCCCCACACACTGGGGAGCCATGTGTTTATTACAGACAGAAATCCTCCTCAGTTTTGTCAGCTGTCCGGATGGCTGGTCTCCGACGATCCCGCAGATGAAGAAGCCGGATGTGGCGGTCTTGGGCTGGCGTGGTTACACGTGGTCTCCGGTTGAGGCCAGTTGGACGTACTGCCAAATTCTCTAAAATGATGTTTGGAGGTGACTTACGGTAGAGAAATTAACATTCAATTCTCTGGCAACAGCTCTGGTGGATATTCCTGCAGTCAGCATGCCAATTGCATGCTCCCGCAAAACGTGAGACATCTGTGTTGTGTGACACAACTGCACATTTTAGTGGCCTTTTATTGTCCCCAGTACAAGGTGCACCTGTGTAATGATCATGCTGTTTAATCCGCTTCTTGATATGCCACACCTGTCAGCTGGATGGATTATCTTGGCAAAGGAGAAATGATCATTAACAGGGATGTAAACAAATTTGTGAAGAACATTTGAGGGACATAAGCTTTTTGTGTGTATGGAACATTTCTGGGATCTTTTATTTCAGCTCATGAAACATGGGACCAACACTTTACATGTTGTCAAAAAGGAGGACCACTTTTCATATAATTAATTTAAATGCCTTTATTTGTATGGCATGTTCAATGGAAACAAAGATTAAAAACTCCTACTGCTACTATAGTGCTACTAATACTACTGTACTACTATTGTTACTAATGCTACTGGTACTACTGCTACTACTGTGTAGTAGTAGTACTAGACTCCAGTGCAACACTATCAAATCAATAGCCCAGTTCCTGCCTCACCCACTTGCTCCTCCAGAGTTCCTGATGCGTGTTGTTCATGCCTCCAGTACACCATTGAGCCTGCTGCTACCTCTTCACATGATTAATCATTATGAGGCACAACACTATCGCGCGCGTGAAGAGAACTTAATGGAGTTCAAAATACCATATTTTCTTTGCTATGATGTAATCACCTTTTTTCCCTGCACTGCTTGCTAATCTGATTGTGCAGGTTCTCTGTAGTGTATAAACTGTCCTAGACCAGGCCAGCATACACCCTTAGAGCAGAGCTATGTTGCTGGATGATGCTCACCCATTTCGCTTGTTATGGAGATGAGCCCTTTGGGAGTTTGGCCGGCACTGTCCGTAGCCATTTTTGTATTTTAGTATGATATTATGTCAGAGTTAACTGTGACTCAGAGGACCTGAGCTGACCTGCTATTCTCTGTGGCAGACTGCTGTGTGCCCACTTTCCCTACCCTCTGTGCTGGGACAAAGGCGTGGCGTGTGGGGGTAAGACTGGTCAACCCAATCAGCCGAATGACGTCCTAATGGGGATGAGAGTGATAAAATGCCAACATGGCAGCAGATTAAATTAACAAGGTAATGAATGAGTATTTCCCACTGGAGAGTTTAATTAACCCCTTTCACAGCTCACACCCCTCTGTAACTCCTCCCCTATCCCACCCAGCCACCACACCGCCGCTGCCTGCCAGGGCAATGTATCCCTTGTCCTTTGTGTGCCTGGGGCAATGAATCCTGCCCCAAGGCCCCCTCCTATGTCTGTGTCCTCTATCTGCATGTTTATCTCTATCTTGACCGGACGACACCTGTGACCACACAAAGCAGAGCCTTACTCATCAGGCTCTTTTCATGTCAGGGTAAATCCATTTGACACCACCCCTTTTGATTTGAATGAAACCTATACATATTCACCCATTGTAGAAATGCTCAAAGTGACTTTTTGAATCTGAATGCCAAATATTGAATAAAGTTGCTCAAAGTTGACCTATTTTGCATACCATAACATGAGACATCCATGTCTTCATCACTGGAAAAGATTAAAGGTTGAGTTTGATATAATTGAAAAGCTTACAAACAGGGTTGTTTACAAACAAGGTTGTTTGATAGATGTACTAAAATGGGAATGTAAGCTTGTAACTTAAAAATTGTACCGCAAAGATGGTTGGAGGCCCACACATCAGAATGTTGATTTGAATGGGAATATCCATTTTAAATTATACTGTCAATCCTCCATAGGAAACCTATTGATATCATAGAAATATAGATCATTGAATAGACATGACCAATTAAGTTGACATTCGACGGTGGGTGGACCGGCAGCCGCCTTTGTGGTAGTAATTAAAGTAAACATTACAATTTCAATGGTGTACCAGCTAAATTGCATTGGTCTGAAGGGATTGGTCCTTTCTATGAATTCTGTTTTTATGATTGAAATGACACCTACCCTGTATTCAAGAACTTGTCTCAACCGATGGGGGCACAACACAAAAACCTCAGATGTGAAATAGTCTAAGCTACAACATGTGAATATGAAAATTGACATTAAAGGTTAAAAAATGTCATGTTTATTTAACATTGTTTTCAATAAATTGTGATATCAAACTCAACTTTATTTTTTCCAATGATGAAGACATGGATGTCTGGTCGTAGGGTGTGATCTGTAAAATGGGTCAACTTTGAGCACCTCGATCTCCTGAATGTTTTGGCGTTCAGGTGTAAAAAATCACTTTCTGGCCACTTCTACCATTGGCAAACCCCTATGGAATTTGTTTTTTAGGATACATTTTTGTTGCAAAATGGATGCTGTCAAAGTGATTGAATTCAAATGGATTTACCCATCAACAATTTGTTTCTGAAAGATAAAATATTAATATGACATATTAGGACATTCACTGCATCTGATAATGTTGTCAGACTCAAATTAGGTTAGAGGACACACACACCCATATATATATATATATGAGGATCTCCTGTGGTGCCTCTACTTCTGTATCTCCCGTTGTTTACCTTGGTCAAATGAACCTTTTCATTGTTAAAATATTGATCATGCTGAACACTGTTCACACCGAACACTTATCTTCCTCCCAGCCGTCTCTTCGCTTTCTCTCTTTCAATCTGTCCATACACACTCAGCCACTATCTATCTGTCTCGCTCATGTCAGTGCTCGCTAGATCTTGTTCAAAAGACTTAGTGAAGCTGAAAGGCCAATCACATTAACAAGAGGTGTGACCGAAAGAGTGGGTATAATATGGTTGTGTGAGGATCAAATCAGACGGACACTTCCAACATTTTAATTGCATATGCCTAATTGTTTATCATAACCCTCGGATCTGGAAATAAATCGGAGCAATTACGCACTGCTGTCGCTGTGGCGTTTGACGGCTGAAATACCGCCGTAGATTAGCAGTTAATCCTGATGCACAAACAGGATCTCAGAAACTCTTTGAAGATGAGGGAGTTAAATATCCCTTCCACTCGACAATGTGTAGGCCCGCCTTGGGTGATGGGCTGCAGCCATTTTGCGCTCTGGAGCCTAATCAGTCATGGTGCAGGAGGAGAGGATTTAGCCGGCTGCTCGTTTCGTACTGTGGGATGATTAGATGTTCAGACGGAGTGGAGCAGGGCCTGGGTTGGCTATTTGGCCAGCGTGCAAATGCTCAGCGTCTCTTCCGCGGCCATCACAGTCTCTCTCCCTCTCTCTGCTATAAATGTCATGGGAAGTGAGGGAGCCAAGTTAACCTTGCTTTCATGGCATGCCAGCCTCCACTGCCAGTTTAAAGAGCCTCATTACAATTACCAACATGGCTCAATCCCAATAATGACTTCAATTCGGCTATTAGAAAGTACCGGGGCGAGAAGGAGACTAGCTCACCCTGTCATCGTCAAACGCCCCACTGACTGGCACCTCATGCAATGTCATAATTAAAATGATTGCCTGATATAATTTGCTTTGCCTACTTTCACTGTCTGCAATGTCATTGTCTGGTCAGTCAGTTTGCCTGTAACTTTCCAGAAGTATGTCTGCTGCAGAGTGAGCGGAGCGTGCTCAATTTGACTGGAGCGAGAATCTCATAGGCTGGAGTTTCAGCCTTCTCGCCCGCTCCAATTTCGCTCCAGTATCGCTCACTTTATGAGCTCAGGGCATGCCCCGCCCAGCATGCATTTGTAGTCTACTTGTGTGCTGCTAAAGCCCTTTTCTTTAGCTACTGACATGGAGGTGACACTCACCACCTTGCGGAGACATTTGAAACCCCACCTCTTTAAGGAATACCTGGGATAGGATAAAGTAATCCTTCTACCCCCCCCCCCCCCCCCCCCCCCCCTTTACTCCAACCCACCCCCCCATCACAAAAAAAATGAAAAGAAAAAAAAAACATTGTAAAGTGGTTATCCCACTGGCTATAAGGTGAATGCACCTATTTGTAAGTCGCTCTGGATAAGAGCGTCTGCTAAATGACGTAAATGTAAATGAGTTCGCTAAATATTTTCATAAAGAAACTGAGAGCACACAGGTGCAAAATCAAAGTGACTTACAATGATGAGGAGCAAGCGAGGAAGTGGGGTGATGTAGTGTCCACAACTAAAAAATCATTGTGGAATCTGAAAAGACACGTATCCCGAAAGCATGATTGTGCACTTTCTACGTGCACATGCTAAAGGAAAGGAACAAGGTGGGTAGATAACTTAAGTGTCATTGTAGCAAAGTATTTGTAAACAAAAAATCAGATCTCTTAAACGTTTCGGTCATTTTCGTTCTATTATCTATACAATAGGCCACAATTGATTTTGTCCCAATAGGTCTGGCATATTCTCATATTCAACGAGCTTTCCGTTTTGATTGGGTTATTTTGTCTAAAAGCCTATAGGCCTACCTATAGAAAGATAAACTCTGCATCTCTGCCCAGTCTGGCAAGAGTGGCCAAAATGGTGTTTAGCATCCCCAGGTTACTTGCTCAAGTGTGGAGAGGATATTCTCCGCTGCTGGCCTGCTCTCCAGGCACCATCGCATGAGCCTGAAGCCACAGACTGGCCAAACTCGTGTTTCTAAAAATAAATTCTAAAAATGAATTCAAAGGCACTAATTTGTATTTAATTCTAAGAAATTCACTGCCTATATCCGCAATTTGTAGACTAATGATTTAATACAACGAAATGTTTAAATGCTGAGCCCTTTATGTCCCTGCCAGCCTAGTGTGTCGCACTCGCAAATGCTTCAGTGTATTTCGTTGTCGGCTATAGCCTTGAAATAATATAGCATAAATAATTCGTTTTCGTTCTTCTAGGCTCCATGTCTGGCTCCTGACCGATTTAGTGTGTATATGCTGTTTAATATGACATGTAGGCTATTTAAAATGATGTTCGCTTCTTACGTTCACCTTTTCATGTTTATTAAAATACTTTTCATTCAAATCCATATGGTTTGGTTTGAATACTTAAAAACCAATTGGTAGGTCCAGGTAGTCACAAAATAAATTGGTTAAATTGTGATTTTAATGAATGGAGCGAATTTGGAGCAGCAGTTCTTTCTTGTGAGCGCAGAGTGGGTTTTAGCGGAGCGGTAGGAAAGCACGTGGAACGACGCGCAAGCACCACTCCATGAGCGGGATTTCCAACTGCTGAACTCCGCTCACATGCTCTGGTCTGCTCTGCATATCGCTCTCACTCCTTCTCTTGCGGCATCTCTCGCCATCTCTCCATCTCTGCATCTCTCTATATCTGCATCTCTCTATCTCTGCATCTCTCTATCTCTGCATCTAACACCATGGGACAGCATCTCTGCGGGTCTGTGGCCTAAGCATAAATGCCATCTGTCTGACTGCTTACATGTACCTCTGTCTGTGCTTAAGCACTTTATAACCACATTAGACCCATCTCCTCTAGTCTCTGCTAGTCGGTGTGGCTTTTCATGTCATTGTTCCTTGGCCCTAGAGTCTCTGACAGATCATTATCTGCCGGGGAGAAAAGAAGAAAGATTGGGTAGCCTGGATGCCTGAGGGTTTGCTTCGACTTGCTCCCCAACATCCCAGCCTTTATATTCATCCATGTTTAATTAGACATTTTCTCTCCATCCTTCCCTCCTCCCCATTTGTTAATTTAGCTCTGTTGTTTTTTTATAGGGGGAGGGAAGCGAAGCTGGAGGGGGGGAAGAGGGGCGAAGATGGCAGTGAGGTTGACATGGGATTCCTGTTAATCAAATCAGAGGGAGAGGCTCCAGGGACTTTATGGTTTTTCATTTCATTAGTGTGAGATTATCATTCAAGTGGGCATCATCTGCTCTGAAACCAGATCAGCCGTGACAAAGTTGTAACTTCATTCAGGTTTTTTTTTTTTAAGGCTGAGAAGATGCGTAGAGGCAGTAAGATGGATGAATGGATGTATTGACAGATCGCTGGATGAATCGATTCACATTTATTAGGTGTTTTTGTCTTTCTTCTTCACATAGGGTGAAGCTAAAAATAGTTTTTCTGCTCCTTTAGTCCCAAATAAAGGTCCTACTCCTCCTCCTGTCATTGAATAATGTCTGCTGGGATGAATGGGTTTTCATACGAGACATTATTAAGATCTGCAGGCAGTGTTCAACACGGTCCATCACGGCAGCACAGCAGCTCCATTAAACTGTAAAAATCTGTTTCTTGTTCCTCGCATACTCTGAAATGAACATTTCAATCAGACCTTGTGTGTTGCCCTAGGATAAGGGTGGCGGGTGGTCAGTTTAAATTTCAGCAGCGGTAATTAGATTGATCGATAGTCATTGCTTCCCAATGCAACTCTGAGGAATGGCTTATTGTGCTGTGTGTGTGGAGGTAGGCTAGGGGAGAGTGTGTGTGTGTGTAGAGGTAGGCAGGCTAGGAGAGAGAGTGTGTGTGGAGGTAGGCAGGCTAGGAGAGAGAGTGTGTGTGGAGGTAGGCAGGCTAGGAGAGAGAGTGTGTGTGGAGGTAGGCAGGCTAGGAGAGAGAGTGTGTGTGGAGGTAGGCAGGCTAGGAGAGAGAGTGTGTGTGGAGGTAGGCAGGCTAGGAGAGAGAGTGTGTGTGGAGGTAGGCAGGCTAGGAGAGAGTGTGTGTGGAGGTAGGCAGGCTAGGAGAGAGAGTGTGTGTGGAGGTAGGCAGGCTAGGAGAGAGAGTGTGTGGGAGGTAGGCAGGCTAGGAGGAGAGAGTGTGTGGAGGTAGGCAGGCTAGGAGAGAGAGTGTGTGTGGAGGTAGGCAGGCTAGGAGAGAGAGTGTGTGTGGAGGTAGGCAGGCTAGGAGAGAGAGTGTGTGTGTGGAGGTAGGCAGGCTAGGAGAGAGTGTGTGTGTGGAGGTAGGCTAGGGGAGAGAGTGTGTGTGGAGGTAGGCTAGGGGAGAGAGCGTGTGGAGGTAGGCTAGGGGAGAGAGCGTGTGTGGAGGTAGGCTAGGAGAGAGTGAGTGTGTGGAGGTAGGCTAGGAGAGGGAGTGAGTGTGTGGAGGTAGGCTAGGAGAGAGAGTGAGTGTGTGGAGGTAGGCTAGGAGAGAGAGTGAGTGTGTGGAGGTAGGCTAGGAGAGAGAGTGAGTGTGTGGAGGTAGGCTAGGGGAGAGAGCGTGTGGAGGTAGGCTAGGGAGAGAGCGTGTGTGGAGGTAGCTAGGAGAGAGTGAGTGTGTGGAGGTAGGCTAGGAGAGAGTGAGTGTGTGGAGGTAGGCTAGGAAAGAGAGTGAGTGTGTGGAGGTAGGCTAGGAGAGAGTGAGTGTGTGGAGGTAGGCTAGGAGAGAGAGTGAGTGTGGAGGTAGGCAGGCTAGGAGAGAGAGTGTGTGTGTGGAGGTAGGCAGGCTAGGAGAGAGAGAGTGTGTGGAGGTAGACAGGCTAGGAGAGAGAGTGTGTGTGGAGGTAGGCAGGCTAGGAGAGAGAGAGTGTGTGGAGGTAGGCAGGCTAGGAGAGAGAGAGTGTGTGGAGGTAGGCAGGCTAGGAGAGAAAGAGAGTGTGTGGAGGTAGGCAGGCTAGGAGAGAGAGAGTGTGTGGAGGTAGGCAGGCTAGGAGAGAGAGAGTGTGTGGAGGTAGGCTAGGAGAGAGAGTGTGTGGAGGTAGGCTAGGAGAGAGAGAGTGTGTGGAGGTAGGCTAGGAGAGAGAGGGTGTGGAGGTAGGCTAGGAGAGAGAGTGTGTGTGGAGGTAGGCTAGGGGAGAGAGTGTGTGTGTGGAGGTAGGCTAGGAGAGAGAGAGAGTGTGGAGGCAGGCTAGGAGAGTGTGTGGAGGTAGGCTAGGAGAGAGAGAGTGTGTGGAGGTAGGCTAGGAGAGAGAGACTGTGGAGGTAGGCTAGGAGAGAGAGTGTGTGTGGAGGTAGGCTAGGAGAGAGAGAGTGTGTGTGTGGAGGTAGGCTAGGAGAGAGAGTGTGTGTGTGTGTGTGTGTGTGGAGGTAGGCTAGGAGAGTGTGTGTGGAGGTAGGCTAGGAGAGAGAGTGTGTGTGTGGAGGTAGGCTAGGAGAGAGAGTGTGTGTGTGGAGGTAGGCTAGGAGAGAGAGTGTGTGTGGAGGTAGGCTAGGAGAGAGTGTGTGTGTGGAGGTAGGCTGAGAGAGAGTGTGTGTGTGGAGGTAGGCTAGGAGAGAGAGTGTGTGTGGAGGTAGGCTAGGAGAGAGAGAGTGTGTGTGGAGGTAGGCTAGGAGAGAGAGTGTGTGTGTGTGGAGGCAGGCTAGGAGAGGGAGCGTGTGGAGGTAGGCTAGGGGAGAGGAATAGCGGTGACGTGCGTTGACTTAATGTCACCCATCCATTTCGCTTTCTCTCTGTTTGGCCTGGCAGGCACTGGAAACAGGAGGCTCATTTATCACAGGGTCTCCCAGGCACCGGCCAAGCACATGCATTCTGTCATACCCTGACAGACACACACACGTGCGCCTTAACACACACAGTTGAGTACACAACCAACACAAACACATAAACAACAACCCACACACACTACAGAAACAATGACTCAACCGCACACAACCACACTTGCAGATGCGCTCACTCCCCGGGGCAGCCATGCGTGTACATACACTCAGCCCGCTCTGAAAGCCCTGTGATTGATTGACAGACCCAGGCTAGTCATTGGTATTCCAGCAGCGAGCTGCATCCACTATAAGTGACACTCAGATAGATGTTTGCAGCTCCAGACTCCTCATCCATTTAAAAAATGTTTTGCCTGTCTGTCTGTCTTCACTGTATTCTCTCCTGCTGTCTCCCATCAGAAGGGCATCCCCATCGGCCAGTTCTGCAAGGACTTCAACGAGAAGACCAAAGAGCTCAAGGAAGGAATTCCTCTGCCCATCAAGATCCACGTTAAAGTTAGTTTTTTTTTTTTTTACCTCACTTAGGGCCTGCACCCTTCTCAGTGTACCCACCCCTGCCCCTGCAGCTTGCCCTTTCAGAAATCCTGCCTGATTTCACTGGCTGCATACCATTACCCAAGAACCTCCATTATTCATATTGTTACACTGAAGTATGCTTTTCCATTTGCATTCATTAAGCAGTATCCAGGGGGATGTAAAAGTCGCACAGAATTTAGAGCATATAAAAGGATGGAATCATCGTAAAGAGGCTGTTATAAAAAATAAATGTTACTCATGGGCTCCATCTGCTGGTCACTACCAGCATCTCCTCACTACACATCTCCTTTTGTGTACAGTAGAATTTCCCTTGCCATGTTGATCTCCAGAGTATTGTTTATCATTCATGCACTTTGTTTGGCTTTATATAATTTACATTTAAGTCATTTAGCAGACGCTCTTATCCAGAGCGACTTACAAATATAATACAATATATATACAAAAGCATGTGGACACCCCTTCAAATTAGTGGATTCAGCTATTTCAGCCACACCCGTTTTCTGACATGTGTATAAAATCGAGCACACAGCTATGCAATCTCCATAGACAAACATTGGCAGTAGAATGACCTTACTGAAGAGCTCAGTGACTTTCAACGTGGCACCGTCATAGGATGCCACCTTTCCAACAAGTCAGTTCAAATTTCTGCCCTGCTAGAGCTGCCCCGGTCAACTGTTATTGTGAAGTGAAAACGTCTAGGAGCAACAACGGCTCAGCCGTGAAGTGGTAGGCCACACAAGCTCACAGAAGGGGACTGCCGAGTGCTGAAGCGTGTAGTGCGTATAAATCGTCTGTCCTCGGTTGCAACACTCACTACCGAGTTCCAAACTGCCTCTGGAAGACCGTCAGCACAACAACTGTTCGTCGGGAGCTTCATGAAATGGGTTTCCATGGCCGAGCAGCCGCACACAAGCCTAAGATCACCATGCGCAATGCCAAGCGTCAGCTGGAGTGGTGTAAAGCTCGCCGCCATTGGACTCTGGAGCAGTGGAAGCGCGTTCTCTGGATTGATTAATCACGCTTCACCCTCTGGCAGTCACAGACGATTCTGTTTTTGGCGGATGCCAGGAGAACGCTACCTGCCCCAATGCATAGTGCCAACTGTAAAGTTTGGTGGAGGAGGAATAATGGTCTGAGGCTGTTTTCATGGCTCAGGCTAGGCCCCTTAGTTCCAGTGAAGGGAAATCTTAACGTTACACCATACAATGACATTCTAGATGATTCTGTGCTTCCAACTTTGTGGCAACAGTTTGGGTAGGCCCTTTCCTGTTTCATCATGACAAAGCCCCTATGTACAAAGTAAGGTCCATACAGAAATGGTTTGTCGAGATTGGTTTGGAAGAACTTGACTGGGCTGCACGGAGCCCTGACCTCAACCCCATCGAACACCTTTGGGACGAAATGGAACGCTGACTGCGAGCCAGGCCTAATCGCCCAACGTTAGTGCCCGACCTCACTAATGATCTTGTGGCTGAATTGAAGCAAGTACCCGCAGCAATGTTCCAACATCTAGTGGAAAGCCTTCCCCAAAAAGTGGAGGCTGTTATAGCAGTAAAGGGGGTACCAACTTCCTATTCATTCCCATGATTTTGGAATGAGATGTTCGACAAGCAGGTGTCCACATACGTTTGGCCATGTAGTGTATATGCGTGAATGTGATGAGCTTCACCCTCTAATGCGATCTCAGACAGACCTGGCTTAGCTAGTGTAGTGGAAGTGTCTCTCCCTGGCGTGCCACAGTGCTGTTGGAACCTTTGCAGCCTTGATCTGTCTTGTGTTCCTTCATTTCTCTCTCCCCGTCTGACTCATCCTGTTCAACAAAAAGAAAAGTAGCAAATCTTCTTATTTTACAAAGTCACCATCCCTAAATCGAGAGTAATGCTTGGATGTATCATGTCCAGCAGATCGATGCCAGGAGCATTGGGCCTTCCCAACTAATGGCTATTTCATAGGTGGTGACAAATGGTATCATTTCACTGTGAAATCACTAAAGATAGATCATTTAATTGACAAGTTAATGCAGAACCGAGGTTGAGAGCAACTTTCCACTTCATAAAGCGTCCATTCCACTTTGATCACACCTTGATTGATGGATTAAAACACATCTAGAACTCTGTCCCTCGCTATCTCTCCCTCCCTGCAGCCTGACAGGACGTATGACCTGAAGATTGGCCAACCCACAGTGTCCTACTTCCTCAAGCAGGCGGCTGGCATCCAGAAAGGAGCCAGTAAAACAGGTAAGGTTTGGACCATGTTGACTGGTGCCGCTCTGTTCCTCCGTTTACTCCATTGCTGTAGCCGTCTGTCTGACAGCTCTGTACTGGAGGGACAGACAGACAGAGGTCTCCCACAGGGCGTTAAGGCTGAGATTGGATGTCTTTGATTGACGATATATTTATGATCGACGGGGAACTTTAAGCCAGGCAATTACAGGCCGGAAGGTAGTGGGAAAGGTGGTGGGCTAAGGAAAGAGAGTGATGGATTTCCACCATCTGCGCTGGCTACTCCCTCTCTCCCTTCGATTGCTCCTTCGTTTCCCCCCACTCTCTGCTCTCCTTTTTGCTCCCGAGCTTTTCTGTCTTCCACCCTCTGCTCCCCTCGGTTTCTTGTCTATCTTTCCCCCTCAGTTTCTTCATCTTATTCCCATTCTGGACTCAATCTCTTTCTCCATCTCTAGGCCATGAGATAGCTGGGATGGTGTCTGTAAGGGCTGTGTATGAGATCGCTCAGGTCAAGGCCCAGGACGAGGCCTTCAAGATGCAGAACGCTTCCATAGAGACGGTCGTCAAGAGCATCATCGGCTCGGCTCGCTCGTTGGGCATTGAGATCGTCAACGAGTAAGACCCTCCTCTCTCTCTCAAAGTGCCCAGTGTCCTTAGATGTCATAAATGGGATTCAGCACTGACGCACACACATTAATAATATTGGTGCAATACATAGCAATGAAAAACTATATGGTCATACTTTATAGAGCCCCACAGTGGAGGTGTCATATTACCCATAAAACCTAGCGGTCAAACAGGGAAATGGTTTCAATCATTTTTCCACCATTCATTTTTCCCATAGGGAATTTTAGAAACACTTAAAAGAAGGGCTGTGTTTCGTGTAGGCTTACCCTGGCATGACGTTTTTATAACCATGTAAATCTCTCTCGGACAAGGTGACTTTTATCTATATTTAAAGGCTCTATTTTACTCTCTGATTCGAAAATGCCAATTAGCATCAAAGTAGACATCATGAAAGACTTCAAATCCCTACAAGCTCATGCATCTCTAGCTGACACCTTTGCTAACAGGTATTGTGTCAATTTAAAAGTTGCACAAGACAGTTTACAAATTTGTCAATTTAAAGAAATGTAGCCAATTTATGAATTACTGAATTTAGCTAACATTTGATAGATAATCCAGAGATTCTTACCTTTGCCTCGATTCGGCAGTCTCGTCCAGATCATCATGGCATTTGTCGTTCCTTATGATGGCCACATTAGCAGCTAATTAGCATTTCATTTTTGTGGGGTAAATACAAGCGACTATATTGATAAAAGTCGCCTTGTCCTAGAGAGATTTACATGGTTATCAAAACGTCACGCCAGGGTAAGCCTGTATGAAACACAGCCCTTATTTATAAATGATTCTAAAAATCCACTATGGGAAAAATAAATGGTGGAAAAAACGATTGGAACCATTTCCTTGAATGACCGCTAAGTTTTATGGGTATTATGACTCATACTGTGGTACTCACTTGTACTCTCATATGTATTGATAGATTGGAAATACAGTGGGGAAAAAAAGTATTTAGTCAGCCACCAATTGTGCAAGTTCTCCCACTTAAAAAGATGAGGCCTGTAATTTTCATCATAGGTACACATCAACTATGACAGACAAACTGATAATTTTTTTCTCCAGAAAATCACATTGTAGGATTTTTAATGAATTTATTTGCAAATTATGGTGGAAAATAAGTATTTGGTCACCTACAAACAAGCAAGATTTCTGGCTCTCACAGACCTGTAACTTCTTCTTTAAGAGGCTCCTCTGTCCTCCACTCGTTACCTGTATTAATGGCACCTGTTTGAACTTGTTATCAGTATAAAAGACACCTGTCCACAACCTCAAACAGTCACACTCCAAACTCCACTATGGCCAAGACCAAAGAGCTGTCAAAGGACACCAGAAACACAATTGTAGACCTGCACCAGGCTGGGAAGACTGAATCTGCAATAGGTAAGCAGCTTGGTTTGAAGAAATCAACTGTGGGAGCAATTATTAGGAAATGGAAGACATACAAGACCACTGATAATCTCCCTCGATCTGGGGCTCCACGCAAGATCTCACCCCGTGGGGTCAAAATGATCACAAGAACGGTGAGCAAAAATCCCAGAACCCCACGGGGGGACCTAGTGAATGACCTGCAGAGAGCTGGGACCAAAGTAACAAAGCCTACCATCAGTAACACACTACGCCGCCAGGGACTCAAATCCTGCAGTGCCAGAGGTGTCCCCCTGCTTAAGCCAGTACATGTCCAGGCCCGTCTGAAGTTTGCTAGAGTGCATTTGGATGATCCATAAGAGGATTGGGAGAATGTCATATGGTCAGATGAAACCAAAATAGAACTTTTTGGTAAACACTCAACTCGTCGTGTTTGGAGGACAAAGAATGCTGAGTTGCATCCAAAGAACACCATACCTACTGTGGAGCATGGGGGTGGAAACATCATGCTTTGGGGCTGTTTTTCTGCAAAGGGACCAGGACGACTGATCCGTGTAAAGGAAAGAATGAATGGGGCCATGTATCGTGAGATTTTGAGTGAAAACCTCCTTCCATCAGCAAGGGCATTGAAGATGAAACGTGGCTGCGTCTTTCAGCATGACAATGATCCCAAACACATCGCCCGGGCAACGAAGGAGTGGCTTCGTAAGAAGCATTTCAAGGTCCTGGAGTGGCCTAGCCAGTCTCCAGATCTCAACCCCATAGAAAATCTTTGGAGGGAGTTGAAAGTCCGTGTTGCCCAGCGACAGCCCCAAAACATCACTGCTCTAGAGGAGATCTGCATGGAGGAATGGGCCAAAATACCAGCAACAGTGTGTGAAAACCTTGTGAAGACTTACAGAAAACGTTTGACATGTGTCATTGCCAACAAAGGGTATATTACAAAGTATTGAGAAACTTTTGTTATTGACCAAATACTTATTTTCCACCATAATTTGCAAATAAATTCATTAAAAATCCTACAATGGGATTTTCTGGATTTTTTTTCCTAATTTTGTCTGTCATAGTTGACTTGTACCTATGATGAAAATTACAGGCCTCTCTCATCTTTTTAAGTGGGAGAACTTGCACAATTGGTGGCTGACTAAATACTTTTTTCCCCCACTGTAAGTGTCGTTGTCGTCATTGGCATTGTTATGGTTCTGTTGTGACTCGCCATTATTCCGTTATGACTACTTTATCACTGATGCAATAGTTATGCCATTTCATTCACATTTTCTTATTTTTCTCCCCTCTTTTGCCCCCTCTCATCCCACCTTCAGTTTATCGGCAGAGGAGTACAAGACTTTCCTGAAGGAGAAGGAGGAAAGGTTGAGAGCAGAGGCAGTAGCTGCAGAAGAGGCAGCATCCGTGAAGAAGAAATGAGATCCCCCCCTATCCTACCTATGTATTTATACTGACTCTGTACCATACACATACCACTCACATATACACATTCTGTCATAACTGTCATTTTGCTCTGTGTATTTCTAAGCAAAATAAACTTTTGTTATAATGAATGATTTTAAGTGTATGAGTGTATTTATGCCAGTTTTCTCAACAAGATTCATGTTTTGTCTCCAGAGTTGAATTATTTGTTTTAAGGAACGCATGTCCTCTCTCTATTGCCATCAAATCAAGCCCAAGCCACTGTATTAAAGGAATTTGTTATACAAATTGCTGCATCTTCTTTCGCTTGCAATCTATCAAAACTGAGTGTGTGTGGCTAATGACATTCTGGCTGTGCTTCTAGAACCATATATTTGCATTCCCACCACAGCTTTGTACTCTTAACATGTTTGATGAGGGTTTCAAGAAAGGAAGAGGACATTTTATGTGACACTTTAGTACAAGTACACCTCATTGTAACCTCAGTATCAGCAGCAGCTGGGTAAATGAGTTCAAGTTTTTAAACGTGCACTACTTTTCCTGGCCACAAGATGACAGGAGATCGCTAAACTGCTCCATCTTCTCTGCTGCGCTCACATCCAGGAGGCTCACTGCAGTGACTGGTCTGGTGCTGGAACAAAATGTTCGGTTGCAGGGAACCAGCATGGTATGGCAGGGCTTTGTCTCTCCAGGTTCGGTTTTTAAGGTGTTAAAAGTCTCATATTTGTACCCTGTTCCTGCAGCTCTGCTTCTGAGATTAGATTTGAGGGACCTGGGGGATGACTTTATTCTATATGTCAAAGGAGACAAGAGGGGGCAGGATTAATTTACACAGTAACATGGCAATGCCCATCAGTCATCTGATGATTTTACCCAAATGTACCCTCCATGATGTGAAGAGCACAGAGCTTGCACTGGGTACTAGTCAGTGATTGATAGTACGTGATTTATCCACCTGCTGTATAATTAGGTTCTGAAGCGTTATTTCTTCATAACTGTCCATTACACTCACTCTCTCCCTCTCTCCCATCTGAATTGGAGGCTGAGGAAAGAGGGGGCTGCTTGAATCAGAGCTCTGACAGGAATGCCTATATATGGAGTCTGACACCATCACAGGCACTGTCAGAGTAGCAGGTACATTGAGTGTGGGCAGCTGCTATTTGTAAAGAGGAGGGGGTCCTATTGTGTCTCTCTCAACGTCAGCGCAAGCACGCCTGCTTAAGTGGGAGGCCATCTGCGTGGTGAGAGAGCGAGCGCCTCGGTGTGGAGCGTGTGCATCAGTCTGAGTCAGATAGTGTCTCATACTGTCTCCTCGTGTGTGTGCGTCAGTGCTGTTGCTGAGCGGAGCTCACTCCAGGGGAAGAAACAGAGGAGAGAGGAAGGAGGAATGGGGGTGATGATGATGATCGTAGGGAGGAGGAGGAGGACTGACAGTGAAGACCGAGATCCAACCGCTTTAAGTGCACTTTAATATAAATGCATTTGTTTGACAACCAAATACAATTATCAGCAACACAAGAACACTGATCCACAATGTTCATTCTTCAATATATTATCATGTATATAGTCCATCTTAAACAATAGAAATGTCTCTGATATGTACAGACTGATGTATTCATACAAATGTACAAATGTGTACAACCCTTCAAAAAAACTGCATGTGCATATATCCACAGACATAATGCTTTATGCATTGAACATCAATTATTTTTTTCAATATTACACATACAATAATATACCTACACATATGTTAAACTTAGCATTTAATAGCTAGAACGTAGGAATCAATCCTTTACTTGACCGTAGACAACTCTACGTTAGCATGTCGACACCATGGGAATAGTACCATTCTCAACCCGTGTCGCTTAGGAGGAACTGAATAGAAATAGCACCCCATCACACTATTTTCAGGTCATTTTTTAAAACAAAACTTCCATTTTTTTCCAACCCCTCTCAAAAAAGAAGAATCACATAGTCGTTCACATAGTTGTATTGTGTCTCACTACACGGTAACTCCATTCGAGCTATGATGTGACTGTCTGTCCATTGGTTAATGGACATGGAGAAAGAGTTCAGATAGAGTTCAGCAGGCCATGGCCATGCCAGGCACACAGGAGCCGCTATAAACTGCTAGCATTGCAAATATTCATGCCGCAAGAAAATCCAGCATAGCTGCCCTTCAAGCCAAGCCCAAGAGAACGGTGACCTAAAGAGCCCACATTCAGAGTCTAATGTACAATGTGCTGGTCCTGTACACAACAGAACCACACACAGTTGTTGAGTAACTTCCAGACGATTTCCATTTGGCAACACCTTCTGGTAAATGCCGGAAACCTTCGTCATACGTTCCTGCTTGTGGACATTCCAAGATCTCTTGTCTTCACGTTTTGTATTGTATTTTCTTTGCACATCACATTGATACACAAGTTTGTAATGGAGAAATAACATGAAGTCAAATGTTTTAAAATGTGCAGACGCAAACTCAAAGCTCAAAGTGTCTGAAGTATTAGGTTAGTTTGACTACAGTATTTGTACGTTTTGACATGGCCTTTAAGGCTATGACAAGAGAGGAAGACCAGAAGGTCAGAGTAGAACTATGTGTCTCTCTGGAAACTGAATATTGAGAATGTGAGAGAGGAAATCTTGTCCCCTTTTGTCAGCTACTGTCAGCAGTTGTACCAGGTCAGTAGAGATTTTGTGAACATAGACTTTCACCACATTTGTGATTTGGGTTTGCGTTGCTGCATTACAAGCAATAATGCTCTTAAGTAATTTCCCTATTGAAATATCAAGGAATGTATTCTTATTTTTTTGTTCACAACAGGTTTTTCACTATGAGTGAATACAAATGCGCGTCTGGAAGTTAAACGGCGCTTTACAAGGTCAGAGGTTTTGTTACGTCTCTGTCTGATCAAATCTTAAGCTCATGTTACAGAAAAGCTGTGAGGCACCAAATGGACCCAAAACTCAGTCAGTGGTGGGTCCATTCGGTTGGTAAATGTTGCACCATTATGTATATATTGCACCATTTGTTGAAATAGAAATACAGGAAGTAATAAATGAACAAAAATATGAAGTCAATCTTTGTTCTCAGTAGACATGTAGGAGTTAAAGTCCTTCAGTAGTATACATTATGTATATATTTATACACTTAAATCATTTTTACTTTTCAGTAAAATAGCTCCACAAAATATGACAATATGCCATACTTAATGAAGTAAGTCACAGACTTATTTTAGAACGGAGGAACACTTCCACTCCCATCTGAAAAACACAAGAGAGAAAGAGAAAGGGGCATTAGTCTGGTATGTTCAGGGTTAACACATATTCATCCATTTATCAAACAGAGAAAGACAGTAGAACAAGTGAACTAGATGATTCTCACCTTTGTGGAAGCACTGTGGCGGCTGGTGACACTGGAGTTGATACAACTCAGGTTGTTGACCCAAGCCGGGGGCGATCGAGGCACCTGCCCCAAACATGGGTTCCAGGGCGGCCAGCTCCTCCAGGAGGGACTGAGCGCAAGGCACGGCGGGTGTAGAGGGGTCGACGGGCGTGGAGGGGGCGGAGGTGGGGGAGGCAGTGAGTCGCAGGGGAGGGGATGCTGGGATGGAGGAGCAGGAGGACAGAGGTGATGACGCCACCTCGATCTCCATAGGCTCCTCTGCCAGCCCCTCCACTTCTGCCATCGCCCCAGCCTCGCCGGCCAACGTCACCCCGCACCCGGCCGTGGGGTTACAGTACGCCGATTGGACGCTACAGAAGTGGCTGACCCCCTCAAGGTGGGAGGGTGAGTGCCAGCACACTGGGTTGGGGGGAGAGGGCGGGTGGATGGAGGGGGTGGGGGAGAGGGGCGGAGGGGTGGAGAAGTCCTGGAGAAGGGCTTCTAAGATGCTCTCTTCAAACAGAGAGTCATCATCATGGAATATGGGGAAGTCCAGGCCTCTCCACGCTTTAACAGGGTAAAACTCTCCCAGCATGTGGATAGAGTCAACACCAGCGGTGTCTTGGGATGGGGAGAGGGAGGGGGAGGGAGGGGAGGAGGAGGGGGACATGGAAGGAGGGGATAGCTTGGATAAGAGAGGATCCAGGTAGAATCCCTCTGCTAAGGAGCTGATATGCTGAGCCAAGAGGGAGATTTCTGCTCTCTCCTTCTCCCTCTCTCTCTCCAGGGAGAAGAAAGAGAGACAGGGCTGTTTACCAGGGGAGGCCTCTGGGGTGAGGAGGCCCTCGAGGGGGTAGTGAAGGGGCCCTAAAGGGACATCTACATACAGGGGTCCCCGAACCTCAGGCAGGGTCATCACTGTGCAGTCCCCATCACCAGGGCTGTCAGGGGTGGGGGGTAGTTTCTCATAGAGAGAGCCACTGCAGGGATCACCAGGGAAGAACAGGTCGGTGGAGGGGCCAGTGAGGCACAGGGAGGAGGGAGGAGCAGGACTGGAGGCTGTGGTGGGTGGGGCGGGTGGGGCGGAGGGGGAGAGGGAGGTGGCAATGGAGGTGGTGGCTGTAGCTGTGGTGGTGGAGGGAGGGGGTGTGGTAGTGCCAGTGGGGTCGAAGCTAAAGAGGGGCTCGCCGGACAGGAAGCTGCCCCCGCCCAGCTGGGGTGTGTAGGGGGGCGTGCACACAAACTCTTTGGTCTGCTGCTCCTGGGAGGTGGGCACTGGGGGGAGGGGCAGGGGAAAGGCAGGCAGCGGAGGTTCGAGCTGGAAGGAGGGGGGCAGGAGAATGTTCTGAGTGAGGAAGTCCAGGTCTGCTACCGTGGCAACGGTAACCGGGGTGGGGGAGGAGGCAGCAGATGGGCTTTGGACAGGGGCAGGCATCTGCTGCTGCTGCTGGAAGAAGCTCTCCTCCTCAATAGAGGAAATACTAGAGCGAGGGTCGCCCTCCACTTGCATGGGCTCAGTGGTGGCGCCACCTGTCTCATCGGAGGAGCCCACACTGGACACAGTCATGCTGAAGTCAAAGGACTGGGCTGAGAGGCCACTGCTGCTGGGGGTGAAGACTTGGTCTGGGCTGGACAGGCTCAGGCTGTCCTGGCGGGAGGTACTGGTACTCAGTACCAGGGTCAGCTGGGTCTGCTCTGTGCTCAGCTGCTGTCTCACCGACCACGCCTCCGCCTCACTGAGAGAGAAACAGAAAGAGAGAGAGATGGAGATGGTTAGTAAGATTCCCTTGTGCTTATTGCAATCAGTCATCTCCTTTATATCTCTTGACGATGTGTCATGATGATCTGTCATAGGGTAGAGCTAGTACCTAAGGATGTAGTTGTTGCTGCTGATGGGGCTGTCTCCTGCCTCCAGCTGCAGTACCATGTAGAGCCAGACCCAGGACTGGTCTGCAGACTCCACCCGTACCACCATCTCAGATCTACCTTCTCCTCCCTCTCTCACTATGGGGGGAAAAAAGAGGGAACATCGACATCAGACATCATGGTGTAAGTGGATACAGTGTAATTGTGTGGTTGTTGTGTGGTATCACTGAATTGGTACTTACACAGGCTGCAATGCTGAGCAGAGGCGTGTGACAGGTCCTGTGGGTGGAGGAGGCTGTACCAGGAGCGAGACCTCAGGGCTGACACATCAAGGCCTAGGTAAACACTGACACTGCAGGGAAGATGGAGAGAAGACATGGTAAGTTAATGCTATTTCATAACTATAGTATCACTCAGAAGATCTAATGCAACAGTTGGGGCTGCCTTGTTAGTGGGTGTGACCTCACCTGTCCTGTGCGTTCTGGAGCCTCATGTCTCGGCTGTGTTGAGACTGGAACGAGGCTAGGAAGAAGTTGTTCTCCGCAGCAGGAGGGATCAGAGCAGGAACCTGGTCCCCCCCAGGGCCAGAGCGGGTGGGGATGGCCTCCAAAGGGGAACAGAAGCACATCCAAACGAGGTTGGATGTCCAGTAGGAGCTAGGGGTGGTAGAGGAGGAGGGAGGGGACAGGCAGCGCGCCCGGATCAGAACCAGCTTGTTCCCAGCACTCTGCCTGCGCACCGACTTCGAAGTGTTGAAACGACAACGGAATAGACGATCTGAGAGAAAGACGAGGCAAGGAGGGATTGTGAATATCAAAAATGATCTGAGTGATATAAATGCAAGCCATTGGTAACGCTTTTCTGTACCATTGGAAATATAGAGGCGTGTCTTACCTGTGTCAGGTGACGTAGGAGGGGCCAGGTTGGTCCTCATGATGAAGTGGTCAGTAGGGTCAATGATATCATACACACTGTCACCCTGGGCAACCAAATCCACCTGAAAGATAGAGAAAGAGGAGTTCATATTAAGCATATTGTCATTAAATTTGTATTAACTTACTAGCTTGATATTTAGACATGATATGGTCTCCCGTGGACTCACCATGGAGTGGCCGAGGTGCTCTGAGACGCTGTCTGACAGGTAGAGCAGCTTGCCTTCCCCGGTCAACAGGAGCATAAACCCAGGTATCTCCTGCACCAGCTCTGACAGCTCGTGGAAAGACAGGAACCTCGCGCTTTCCTCGAGACTGCCAGCAGATCCCGATTCTAAAAACAAAATATTATGAAAAATATATATATATATGTTTCTGTCATCATAGCATCATAACACCAATGCAACGGTTCTGCTCCCTGCAATAGCTATAGAACAAGCGCATTAGATTTCAGTACCACGGACAGCGATATACGTGTTTCAGAACTGGATAGCAACACACAGTTCTAAAAGGGTTTTTCACGCCAGAACTTCAAGCAAAACACGATAATGTTCCATTATATGTATTCCTAAACAACATAATTCACATGTAGACATGAAGTTCATCAACTGTTTCTTTCGACAAGACATATGGCACCTGTTGATTCAACGCATAAAGTTAACCGTAGCATGCCACTAGCTCAGACAGATTGAAGCAACAGTCCGTCAGTATATGTTTCATTAACATTTTTGTTGTTGTTGCTATGTATAAACAGGTAGGCTATGGATTATACACTGAGTTTGAACTTGTCGATTATAAACTAAATCGGGGCTTACCTTGAGAGAAGAAGACCGATTTCCTGGTGTACATGCTGGCAAGGGACATGATATGTAGGTATGAGAGTCGTGCCTTGTCCGCATCGGAGATGGGAAGCAAGTCCTTCAGGTTCCGAATCTCCGCGTTGATTTGGTCCCTCCGAGCCTTTGACGCTCCCTTGGTTGATCGATACATTGTAGCCGGTTATAGTGGTTGACTAAATTCCGTGCAGTTGAAATTGAAACTCAACGGAGTAGTTTTGACCTTTGCGTCAGATGAGGTCTGGGTATCTTTCCCTCAAGATGAGGTGTCAGAGATAGGCTAGTAGTAATAACCTTGTCTTAGTACTATTGGACTTTCATCTCAGCTCGTTCCAGAGTAAGGCTTCAGACCTTCTCCTATCAGTTCTTTTTTCCTCTTCGGTTCCGCCACAGCGTCCAGCAAGGTTGCTGGCTAGCCGTAGAATGTATCTCCCCCCGTTCAGAGTGTGAGTGATTCGGCGGCTGTAGTAGCCGTCTCTCGCCCAGATGTCCGGATCCCGTAAATCTGGTGGAGGGACTCTGCTCTCGAGTAAGTTATATAGGCTGGGATTCCGGTGATGAAGGGGGGCTCCCAACGCGCCAACACCGACGTAGTAGGGAGAGGGGGGGCTAGAGGGAAGTGTGGACGAGGGGGATTCAATGTTAGCAATGGTGAAATTCTCTACCTCTGCCTGCTCCCCCTCCCGCTCATACCCTCTCCTTTTGGTGACTCTTTTCTGACGTCAGCCCTTCCCTCTACCCAGTGATGACGTTGGTTTGATTTCGGGAGCTCCGGCGACGCAAAAAGCCCGATTTGGACAAAACCGAGGAATGGGCGGAGACAAACGTAAAACGTAGACGGAGTCACCGGACCACCGTGTACTGGGGGGAGGGGAGACTGTGTGTTTCTATGTCTGGCACCCGAGGAACAATTTATCCTCTCTGAAAATTAATAATTCCTAATATAGTGTAGGCTATGTTATCAGTAGCCTACATGATGCAAATGGGTATGTGACTAGCCAAACTGGCTCATAATATGTTTCTGTAATTATGAGATAATGAAGGATGCGATGCATTTCGTAAAACCGTCCATCGTCGATCTCTAGGGTAACACATGCAGATGCATGCCAACGTTATCCATTAAATATGTTCCAGCGAAAAGATAGTCTAGCATGGGTGGAAGTCTGCTTGAGGGAGAAACGCGGGGCAGAGTTACAGCACCAAATTCAGTCGCTTTTTATGAATGGAATCTACCATTCTGACTGTAATTCAGTTGTCAGGCAGCGCAGTGCCTCCAGGGCTAACGCGCAAAGACAAGGGAGAGGGTGTCGGTAATCCTAAAGAGCATACTGTAGGAGAGACATAGGCTAATCGCGCTGTATAGCCTATATCTTACATAAACTGCAACATCCTTCCTTATAAGGCAATTTGAGCGGAATGTGTAGCTAAGGGTGATGCTGAGCTATGTCTAGTCTATGCATCGAAACCTGGCTGGTTGTGGGTCTTCTGGTTGAAAACCTTAGGCTATGTGTGAATTGCAGCCAAACGGGGATTTATTTGTGAAATAAACATTTTCACAGGTTACAGTTTTATCTTATTTATAAGCACCCATGTTTGTATTCTGCAGAGTTTATTGGCTTTGATGAGATACATATCCCAACAAGGTGATCAGAGCCTAACCCGTTCTCTATGGGCTTTTCAGTTAGAACAGATAAGACTAGAGTTTTGCCCAAAATACATCCTCTTCAATTAAACTATCATATAAAACGTCGCCTAAATCATAGTCTTGGAAGGCTTGGGGATGGAGGCTGTGCAGCAGTCATTCTTATCTACGTGTAAAAATCTGTGACAGACGACAGTCGGATCCAGTAAATTGTGGAAGCTCAATTTGAGATGAAATTTGATGTTTTCTGAAATTATTTGAAAGGAACTGTATGAAGGTATGTTGCAACAATTTTGCCATGTTGTTCTTACTACGTGTTAAAGTTGAGCAAATAGTCTATGTGATACTTGAAGCATACAAACTGTTTTGTAGTCTTACATATATTTTATTGGATACTCGAAGTGTACACACGCACATACACACACACACACACACACACGCACACTTGTTGCAAACAGTGCTTGAGTGCGGAGATGAATCTCGTCGTTTCTATAAATAGCTCTCACCCGTGAATGACACATGCACTCAGTGGCGCACCCCAGCTTACATCTCCAATTGTCCCCATTTTTACTCAGTTTCTTCCTGTTTTTAGACAGATGTTTTTGTTTGAGGCTCAAAATAGACATATATTTACGAGCCATACGTGTCACGCGTCTAACATGTTGCATGTCCACAAACTTTCACGATTTCACGGACTGCCAACTCCCTAAGGGCGAGTTTCTCATTAATGTGGTCCATTTGGAAATATGCCATCACACAACAAAGCAACCTTCCCTCTCCCCACAAACGCTTTAGAGTGACCGCTATATATTTCAGCACCATGGACAGCGACAGAGCTGTTTAAGCACTCCGTGGAGATTCACTGCTCTCTAATAGCATTTATTATGCCTAAACATGAAAAGAAACACGAGCATGATCCTCTTTATGTATTCATAAACAGCAATGTTCACATAAAGCGATGAAGTTCATCAAATGTTGCGTTCTGCAAGGCATATGTACGATCCAATGAATCTGCATTACATCATTGGTCCTCTCTATTCATACCTTGCCTTCCCCTATTAGACTATTGACCTGTGTTGTTGTATTGTGGATAAAATCACAGACAGTTCTCTGAATGAAGATAACTACAACCACTATGTTCAGCGCTGGGTAGAGTGAAAAGTGATTTTTCTCCCATGTAAGTTGTTACGGTGGTAGGCGTAGGTGTCTCGCATCCAGAAATGTTTGAGAAATGTTTGAAGAATCTATGCTCTGGTCTTTTGGCTACTATGGATTTTTCCTCCAATATAAGATCTTAGGAAGTCATTTTTGGATCACAACTATTCAAAACACATGTAATAGCTATTTCTATCCCACAATTCACCCATAATAGTAGTAATCTCTATGCATGTGCTCTCAGAGTTAAAGTACACATAGGCCTACACTCAAAGTTGTTTTTTTCCGCCCGGCAGTCCAAGAAGCACTTAAAGTGTCCCACACACTGTGTTGGCTCAGCAGTGGCCCAGACAAATGGCCATCATTTCCATTATTGTGCTTGTCATTATAATGGCAGCCATTATGAGATGGGCCTTTGTAGGTATCACTGGTGGGTGGGAGACGTGAACCAGAGACAGAAGAGGAAGCGAGACACTTCACTCGCTCCATTCTTCTGGTTCATACAGTCAATGAACTACGCAGACCAGACCAGCTGCTAATGCATTGGTGCCCATGGGAGAGCCACCCCTTAAGCAGACCGGAACTATGACATTTTTATCAATGGTAAACAGCCTGAGTGGGACATCTTCACCATCTTTGACGGGAACATGGCTGTGGCCAGGCAGTTGTGAGAGGGGAAGAGGGTCACAGGGATGACTGGCCTGTCTCTTTGAGCGGACTTCCATTAGGCCATCTCATTTTCTCAATGACAGACAGTGATGCCTCCACATTGACACACTAACACATAAATAATGCACACCTGCATAACAAACGCATAACTTCTAGATAAATAACAAGTTGTAGCCTAGGTGTTGGTTACATGAACTGCAGTCCTACACTGACATGTTTAAAGGGCCAAATGGTTCGGCTTCACCCATGTCAACAGGTGTCTCTCAGCAGTTTGCACAGTGTAAATATAATATGGAGAATGTGTTGATTATCTGATGGAAAGCAAACAGTATGTACTGCAATCTCTCTGGTCATCTGACCTAAGGAAATAGTTTGTAGCTCACCTGTCTTTTCAGAATTATTGTTTAACCAAGTATTTTTTTTAATCTAACCATGAAACCTGGGAGAAATGTTATGTTTTGGTATGAATTGTTAGATAACAGTAGTTGTTAGAAAAGCAATTACTCTTACTGCCATCGATTATTGTTACTGAAATAGAGATAGAGATATCTATAGAGCTAGAGAGTTATCTTTATACCAAATTGAAATTATAGTGCATTATGTCTCACCTTCTTTTGAGGAAAAACACTTACCAGACGCTTTAATCCAAGGCCACTTACAGTCATGCGTGCATACATTTTACCTATGGGTGATCCCGGGAATCGAACCCACTACTCTGGCATTACAATAGCCATCCTCTACCAACTGAGCTACAAAGGACCACATACATTTTTTTGGGGGGGGAAGACAATATGCACCTCTCATAGCATAGGTGAAGGATACTCGTCCTTTTCCTTAAGACTCTTTCTTTTCACTGGTGTTTATTTTTACACCCAGAGAATCAAGTTCTGCGCTCCGCTTCTTGAAAGAAAGGAGCTAATCTGTCGCCTAGCAACACCTCCCACTCATGCGTCGAAGCGCGAGCGAGAGAAGACTTTGGAGAGAGGGAAGGAAGGAGTGTTGATGAAAGAGACTGAGGGACGTACATAGAGGTTTAGGGCTACAGATATTAAGATCAGGTATGATGAGTTGGAATATTGACGTAGGACAACCTGAGTCTAATAGGACAGAAGACAGCGAGATGGCTGGACAATCTGAGACATGCGTGGTAGCCAGAGCGTGTGTGGTTATTAGCCAGTGTGACACCATACACTTTTATCGTACAATGCTATAGCTTCAAGTAGGCTTTGTTTGTGCATGCTTTCACATGTATAGCATGCAGGTATAGTTGTTTCACACATCTTCTGCATGTTTGTCTGGTGTGAATGCATCCAGATTCATAGACAGTACTAACCAGCAGAAGTGAAGCGAACAAACGCCCACACACACCCACTCTCTGCTTCCAATCCCCCATCCTCCCTCAGCCCCCCTCTCTGCCTCTGTTGATGATGACGCTATCAGAGCCTGTAACCTTGTACTTTTTTCTTTTTTCTAGTACTCAGTTTATTTTTAGAACTTTGGTCTCAGAAGAGGGGGAGCAGTCGACTAGTGCTGGGGGTGTCAAGCTCACCCTCTCTACCCCCTCCCCTGATGTTATTTGGACTATCCGAACCCACAGGGAATCACAAGGACAATAGTTCTGATTATATAGTTTGAATGAAAAGATAGAGAGGTATTTTCCATTCTTCATTCTTCCACCATCATAAAGC